GAGATCATGACCTGAGCCAAAGGCAGACACTTACCCGACTGAGCCACCCAGGCACCCCCAGAGTCCTCAACATTTCTTTAGGCTTTCTTGGTAAATTGAGAAAATACCTAAAATCACAGGGTTAATTGACTTCCTAGTTCAAGGTCTAACAGTGTGTGTCTTCCTCCTTAACATCCCCATTAATTTCATATTCATATGATGAGATATGCAGTGAACAGTTATAGGGTATAATCCTGTGTTAACAGGAAAGGAGAACAAGCAGGTATCAAGACAGACCTGGACTCTTGGCTTTGCCACAAACCGGCTGTGCAACCCTGAATAAATCACTTAACTTCTCTTAGCCTAGGTTCACCTACAAAATTGGGCCACAATATCTCCTCTGCAAGGCTGATGAAATGAGATACTACACGTACCTAGGAAAGAACAATATGTCTGATGCATAGCAGCTCCTTAATAAATATTAGTTTTTTTCTTTTCTATTCTTTCTCATCTATCCCCTCCCCTCCACTCCAGTCCTTGTGCCTAGAAGATAAATGATATCTATTTAGAGGCTCTTGGTTTATGGCCATTCTAAAGCATTTATGGAAATCTGCCATCCCTTGGTCTTTCTGCCAGAATCCCTAGTCCGCGGCCAAGGTCAATGAAAAGGAGCTTGTCTGCAAGAAACTTTCAATTGAACTGAGGAAATCAACATTCACACAAATTTAAGATTTATAGCTGACCTAGTTCACAAACAGGATAAATATGACTCTAGGTAAGTAGAGCCAATATGAATTCCAACCTACCCTGGGAATTTGGAAGATACAGGACTGAACCCTGAAGGAACGATTTAGAAGGTTAAGGTTCATCAGTGCTTCTGAAAATGGAAACAGAGTCAAGGCTGATCTATCTTAGAAGACATAACCCTTGAATGGGGGAGGCCATCTGGGAACTGGATGACTTCTTGAGTCCTTTCCCATCGGGGTCTGTAACTGGAAACATTAAAATCAGGGGCTCAGGGGACACCCTCTGAAACTGAAAGTCAGTGCACCTGAAAAACCTACATGAAGTTTCTTTCTTTGGTTACAGAGAGTGGGTTGCTTCAGGAAGTACTTTCTATCATAAAGAATGCAAGCAAAAGATAATTTTTTTGAGAGAGAGAGAGTGTGTGCACTAGTGCAGGGGAGGGGCAGAGAGAATTTTAAGCAGGTTCCAGGCCCAGCACTCAGTGCTCAGTGTGGAGCCCACAGCTCGATCTCATGACCCTGAGACCATGACCTGAGCCAAAATCAAGAGTTGGATGCTCAATCAACTGAGCCACACAGGCACCCCAAGAATTCAAGCAAATTTTAAAAGTGGCCTTTAGGAAAAAATTGCACTCTTTGAATCAGTCCCTTCTCTGATTTTGGAATCATGCAGTTCCCTGCATGGTGGGCAAGTGAGAACAAGTTACAAGGGTTCACGTTTAGATCTTGATCTACATAGTAGAAACGGCTGCCATATTTCAGTAGAGAAAAATCTTTGTTTGAGAGACGTAATTTGTGGATAACTTATGCCAAGGCTTCCTATTTAAAAAATCATGAATATTGTCATTAGTGTTCATCTTACCCCAAAGATAAACACAGTGTTCAAGCCCCTATTTACCCAGTTCAGAACAAATGCACTGAATGACTTGTACTTCAGTTTTTCTAACAACATCAACAAAAATGAATATTTGTTGGCTCCTTTCTCTGTCAGAAGAATGCTAATTACTTGACAGGTAGAATCCTAATTATTTGTTTCTTTAAAGCAGTTTGAAGAGATAGACATTTATTACTAATATTTTCATCACAATCCTCATCATCCCCGTGGCATACATGAGAAGTTAAATTACTTGGCCAGGTTCCCCAACCAGCAAACAGTGGAGCCTCGGTTTGAACCAAACAGGTGAACTTGAGCTCTCACTCCTACGTTTGCATAAAGTTTTACACTTCCATCAAAGACATGATTTCACGTGACCTCACAAGAAACTCATTAAATACAAAAGGCATCTATTGGCTTTCAAACAAACAAACCAAGAGCAAATTTAAAGAAGTCATCCATGGTCACAACTTGTTTCTGTGTCACAGACGGGACTGAAATCCCGTCCTCTGTGATTTCAATAGGGTCTCCTACAGTTGAATCCAATGAGCACATTCTGACACATCTGTCAAAATACATCCTGGGCGCCCAGCTCCTGACTTGCGATTCAAGACTGAATTACCTAATTGCCTAAAGGCGATGGCAGAGGAACAACAGCCGCCACCACAGCAGCCTGATGCCCATCAGCAGCTTCCCCCCAGCGCCCCCAACTCGGGGGTGGCCCTGCCAGCCCTTGTGCCTGGGCTGCCAGGGACAGAGGCCAGCGCGCTGCAACACAAGATCAAGAACTCCATCTGCAAAACTGTACAATCTAAAGTGGACTGCATTTTGAAAGAAGTTGAGAATTTTACAGACCTAGAGAAATTCTACCTCTACCTTCAGCTGCCTTCTGGTCTCAGCAATGGAGAGAAAAGTGATCAGAATGCCGTGTCATCTAGTCGGGCACAGCAAATGCATGCCTTTTCCTGGATTCGAAATACCCTAGAAGAACATCCTGAGACTTCATTGCCCAAACGGGAAGTCTAGGATGAGTACAAGAGCTACTGTGACAATCTTGGTTACCATCCATTAAGCGCTGCTGACTTTGGAAAGATCATGAAAAATGTCTTTCCAAACATGAAGGCACGTCGTCTGGGCACAAGAGGCAAATCTAAATATCGCTACAGTGGACTAAGGAAAAAAGCCTTTGTTCATATGCCAACACTGCCCAATCTTGATTTTCACAAAACTGGAGATGGCTGGAAGGAACTGAACCTTCTGGGCAGCTTCAAAATATTGATGAGGAAGTTATCTCTTCTGCTTGCCGTCTCGTGTGTGAACGGGCCCACAAAGTGTTAAGCCAGCCATTCGACACGGTCTTGGAGTTAGCACGCCTCCTTGTAAAAAGTCATTACATAGGCACCAAGTCGATGGCACAGCTCTAACAGTAATGGCAGCAGCACTACCAGGAATTAAAGGAATTACCCCGCCGTCCGCTTTTATACCTACAGCTGAGAGTAATTCTTTTCAGCCTCAAGTGAAGACTTTGCCCTCTCCTAGTGATGCTAAACAGCAATTGCAACGGAAAATTCAGAAGCAGCAGCAAGAACAGAAACTACGGTCCCCTTCGCCAGGAGAATCCTCAGGCAAAAAAGCAGGAGGCGCTACAACCAATGGAGTGACTCATCTTTCTAATGGAAATCCTGCAACCCTTTCTCCTCAGCCTATTGGTATCCTTTTGGCGGCTGTCCCTAGTCCCATTCCGGTCCAGAGGACCAGGCAGTTGGTAACTTCACCAAGTCCAATGAGTTCTTCTGACGGCAAAGTTCTCCCCCTCAATGTACAAGCGGTCACTCAGCGCATGCAGTCTGTGAAACAGGCACCAAAGGCTCCTCAGAACGTTCCAGCCAGTCCTGGTGGGGATCGTTCTGCCCGGCACCGCTACCCTCAGATCTTACCCAAACCAGCCAACGCCAGTGCACTCACCATTCGCTCCCCAACTACTGTCCTCTTTATTAGCAGTCCCATCAAAACCGCTGTTGTACCCACTTCACACATGAGTTCTCTAAATGTGGTGAAAATGACAGCAATATCCCTCACGCCCAGCAACAGTAGTGCCCCTCTTAAACATTCTGCCTCAGTGAACAGTGCTACAGGAACAACAGAAGAATCAAGGACCATTCCACAGATCAAGAATGGTTCTGTTGTTTCACTTCAGTCTCCTGGATCCAGGACCAGCAGCACCGGGGGAGCATCTGCCGTGGAAGTCAAAATGGAACCTGAAACATCATCAGATGAGCATCCTGTACAGTGCCAAGAGAATTGTGATGGGACTAAAGCTCCCAAAACAACACCTAGTGCCCTTTTGGGGCAGGAAAGTAATACGGATGGAGTAGTGCAAAAACCTTCAAATGAAGGTGTCACTGAAGCAAAAGCAACCAAGGTCTGTGACCGGAGGACCAAATGTAAAAGCCGCTGTACTGAAACTCTGCCAGGCGCTTCGACAGGCAATAATCCAAGCACTGTCACCCTCTCAGTTGCCGCTCAGAACTTAACTTTCACCAGCACCAGCTCACCAGCTAATGGTGACTCAATAAATAAAGACCCTAAATTATGCACTAAAAGTCCAAGAAAGCTACTGTCTTCTGCATTGCAAGAGTCCCAGGTGCCTCCCATAAAGAAACCAATTGTGGAACAGCTTTCTGCAGTTATCCTAGAAGGTCAGAAACCAGGCAGTGTTGAGAAGGACCAAAAGGTTCCACATTCAGGGAAAATAGAAAGTTCAACAGCCGGTGCTCAGATTCCTAGCAAGGTATCAATGAATGTCAGTTCGCACATAGTGGCAAATCGACTCTTGAGTTCTTCTGCTCTCATTGCCGGTGATTCAGCTTCAGAACAGCAAACACCATCATCATCTCCAGATATAAAAGTAAAACTTGAAGGGAATGTCTTTCTTTTGGACAGTGATTCAAAACCAGATGGCAGCTTTAATTCAAATGAATGGCAGCAGGTCAGTAAGGATTCTGAGTTTATATCTGCCGGCTGTGAACAACAGCCAGATATCAGTGTTATGACAGTTCCTGAGCACTCTGATATCAACGACTTAGAGAAATCTGTTTGGGAATTGGAAGGAATGCCACAGGACACTTATACCCAGCAGCTGCATAGCCAGATACAAGAATCTTCTTTGAATCAAATACAAGCACAGTCTTCAGATCAGTTACCTCTACAGTCTGAACTGAAAGAGTTTGAGCCTTCTGTTTCCCAAACAAATGAAAGCTACTTTCCTTTTGATGATGAGCTTACACAAGATAGTATTGTGGAAGAGCTGGTGCTTATGGAGCAGCAAATATCAATGAACAATTCTCATTCTTACAGTAACTGTTTGGGAATGACCCTTCAGAGTCAGTCAGTAACTCCAGGAGCTCCAATATCATCTCATGCCTCCAGTACCCACTTCTATCATCCAATCCACAGCAATGGCACTCCGATCCACACACCCACACCCACTCCTACCCCAACCCCAACCCCAACCCCAACCCCAACTCCAACATCAGAAATGATTGCTGGGTCTCAGAGTCTGTCACGGGAGAGCCCTTGCTCCAGGCTAGCCCAGACCACACCTGTGGATAGTGCTTTAGGAAGTAGCCGACACACACCCATTGGTAGTCCACATTCTAACTGCAGCAGTAGTGTCCCTCCCAGCCCTGTTGAATGCAGGAATCCATTTGCATTTGCCCCAATAAGCTCCAGTATGGCGTATCATGATGCCAGCATTATCTCAAGTAGTCCTGTGAAACCGATGCAAAGACCCATGGCCACACACCCTGACAAAACCAAGCTTGAATGGATGAATAATGGGTATAGTGGGGTTAGTAATTCATCAGTTTCTGGCCATGGCATTCTCCCAAGCTATCAGGAACTAGTGGAAGACCGTTTCAGGAAACCTCATGCTTTTGCTGTGCCTGGACAGTCTTACCAGTCTCAATCCAGACATCATGACACTCATTTCGGTCGCTTGACTCCTGTCTCTCCTGTGCAGCATCAAGGTGCCACTGTAAATAACACCAACAAACAGGAGGGTTTTGCAGTCCCTGCCCCTCTTGATAATAAAGGGACTAATTCATCTGCCAGCAGCAACTTCAGATGCCGGAGTGTGAGCCCTGCTGTTCATCGCCAACGTAATCTTAGTGGAAGCACCCTGTACCCTGTATCTAATATCCCCCGATCTAATGTGACCCCCTTTGGAAGTCCAGTAACCCCAGAGGCTCACGTTTTCACAAATGTTCACACAGATGCGTGTGCCAACAACATAGCTCAAAGAAGTCAATCAGTTCCATTGATGGTCATGATGCAGACAGCCTTCCCGAATGCTCTTCAGAAGCAAACAAACAGTAAAAAAATAACCAGTGTCTTGTTGAGTAAACTTGATTCTGACAATGATGACTCAGTGAGAGGTTTGGGCGTGAACAACCTGCCCTCCAATTACACAGCCCGGATGAATCTCACTCAGATTTTGGAGACTTCCACTGTTTTTCCTAGTGCCAATCCGCAGAATATGATC